CCCCAAAACCCCAAAACCCCAAAACCCCGTAATAATAATTTGATAAAACCTGCGTGTTTATATTATAGTAAATAAATATATTAATGTTGCAAGACTAGGTGAGAGATTCTCTCTAGCTTTAAATTGAGCAAATGAGAGCAAATAGACTTAAAAATGCTAATCAAATCTGTGATTAGATTTACTATCGTCAGCACTAGCGAGTCAAGGATAAATACTATGAAATCAAGAAAATAAAGTCAAAGAAGGTTAAAGAGGTTTCTGTTTAGCAAGAGCACTTATAAGATTTAGAACAGAAAGTGGAAAATAAGTTTAAAGCTGATCATTCCTTCAGACAAATGAATTATTTTGGATTTACTGAGCTCATTGACAAGACGATGAATGTTGATTAAGAGTAGATAACCTGAGAGAAAATGAAGGGTAGATATCAGCTTAAGATCAGAGAAGACCTTCCGTCTCCTATAAAAATATCTCAGTTCGCTAATGAGCCCATCGCATTCCATTTGCATAAAAAGGGTGACATATTTAAGAAATTTGATGGAGCTAATCCTCCTTCCATCTAAGAAAGTATTAACTTAAGAAAAGAAGTTGAGAAAATAAAGGAGAAGATAAAAAGAGAAAAGTTGCATGATGAAATGAAAAAACTAGCTAAATCTGTAGTAATGATTGAAGACGAGTCAGTTTATGAGAATGAAGTACCTAAATGGAAGAAAATGCTCAAAGAAATAAAATCGAACAGAATTCAAAGCAGAAACAGAGAAGTAACATCAACAATTAGCCAGGATATATCTACTGGAAAATTACCTTTACTAAAGAGTAGGGTTGATTTATCTCAAAGCTATCCAGAAGGCCATCTTCCAGGATTAAAGCAAAAGGATACAATAAGAATCGGTCGGAAAAATAAGCCGAATTTGAGGATAGAAAGAACTGATCTTAGTGTAGATAACTTTAATAGTAACATTTTAATTCAGTCAGTAGAATCTGATGAGAGAAATAAGACAATTGACCAAATAAATATTCCAGAGATCAAAGCCTCCGCAGCTGATTTTCAAGATCAGCAATTTACTTTAATCCGAGATTAAAGCAAAAGATAGAACAAGAATTTGGAATCAAAAGTAATGATGACTCTCTTTGATAGATCAAGAGGATCTAGTATGCAAAGATCTCCAGTTATTGACAAAGGTGAGAAGAAATTTAATTATGATTTGAACTAATCTAGAAATACTAATAGCTCGAAAAGCCTTCACTAAGGTAACGATCAAATTAAAAAGTACCAAACAATCGATAGCAATCCAAGATCTTCAATATAGAGTTCATTTAAAAAACTAATTTTACAAAGATTTGGCACCAATATAGAGCAGCCATCAGAGTGGGAATTACAGAAGCAGAAAATTAGATCAAGTCTGTTGAAATTGTAAAAGTCCTGCTAGGAAACATGTGACGATACTCAAAAAAATTTAGACAAGATTGATAAAGGACTTTCAAAAGAAAGTCTAATCAAAGAAAATATGGAGTTTACTGTGTCTACTTTGTAAGAATTTGATAACATTGAGCCCAAAGGACTTGATATAATTTTTGAGTATAAGGTCGGTGATAAAAATTTTTAACAAGATGAGGCTAAGAAAGCAGTCAAGGATTATAGATATAGAAATTTTGAGAGTAAAAATAAGATTATATAACGACTTGAGTTTGAGGCGAGCTCTAAACAGAGAAAGCTAGCCAAAAAGATCAAAATATGAAAGAATGACACAGTAAAACTGTTCATCTATTACTCATCTAAGAATATGAAAATGCTTGTATCATTTAATTTCCATTAAAAATATCTTGATATCCTCAAACAGGGTTTTGGGGTTTTGGGG